GAGGAATAGGTACACCCCGACTCAAGTGCCAGCGCAGAGGAGCAACATGGCAGTGACGCACAAGAGTGAGACCGCGTAACAGCAGCTCCTGACCAGAGCTCATATCTGGAACCTCAGCGTTCATCCCGACCCCCTCGCCACGATGAGACCAAGCCTTATTGGGGAACAAGAGAAGCCACCAGAGCTCCAGCGGAGGACACCATTCGGGAACAGCACGCCGTTCCCCAGCACGATTGATAGCAGACATGATAAACTTTAGATCACGACGAGCGGCAGACACCTCTTGCTCCGAAAAACGTGGCCCTCTGAGAACCCCTCGAAGTTGTTCCTGCTTCCAAGAATCCCAAGACTCCAGCACGGTGCTCTGCATGCCCCCCTCGTACCCCTTCTTCTGGAATTGTTGTATGATAGTAGCTTTATCCTCTATCACCCCCCATCACCGCCTGACAATCTCGTTTTTTGGGGCCCCAGCGAGAACCAGCAAGTCGACGAGCCAGTCGGGAAGCCTCAGCAAGCCGTCGAGCGCGCCAATGTTCATTGATTTCAGCCACTAGAGCATTTTGCTGCTGTTCTCGTTCTCGTCGTCGTAATTTCCTATTCGATTTTGATAACTCTCTAAGCTGCTCAGCTATATGCTCCTCCTCCTCCTCAGTCACCCCCTCAAGTCGCCGTCGAAGTCTAAGCCGTTCTGCTAGAAGAGCCTCCCGAGAATCCCGAAGCTGCTGTCGATGATCACTAACAAACTGCCCTGGAGTAAAAACTTGCTTGCCTACATCGATGAGCAACTCATTCATGTGATCAAAAAAAAATGTCCGCCGTAGGCTGCATCAAGTCAGCCTCAAACCGGGCAGACTCAGCGCTGAGACGAGCACGAAGTGATTCCAAGACTTCACGTCGACGTTCACCACCCCGTACACAGCGCATGATGAGATCAAAGTTCCACAGCGTCCTCTCCTTCTGATCCTCCACGGATCCTGCAGGAGCCAAGACATAAAGGAAGACAACATGAACAAGGAGATGATCAGTCGGTCGAGCTTTGGGAATCAGTTGGAGATCTCTGCTGATGCCCCGCAGGGGCCCTGCCGCCTTCATTACCTGTACTAAAGGCCGTGGGATACAGATGAAATCTATCATCGAAGAATGACCAGCCGTTGAATAGAACGTCGGTGCAGCTCCGCGAAAAGAATTAGCCGCCTGAAGGTCATGCTCATGTAAGATCGGGCCCATCAGCGCACCAGCATAGTGAGCAAAGGTAGCTGTCCGAGGAGGCACCACATTCAGATCATCATAATGCCAACCACTGTGCTCTCCACGAACTTTGCCTAGTCCATCATTCAAGTCACAGCAAAAGATAGGCGTAGTGCGCGAAGGGAGCGATGCCAAACACGTCGCTATCCAGCACGAGAGACGATCACATGTGGTGCGATAACATTCCTGCGCCTCAAGATCACGAGGGCGAGGGGGAAAATAAGCTGCAATCACTGTCACATCAAGCACACCATTCTTAACACGTGCTAAAAGCCCTCGACCTCGAATGGACTCAGGAGCTGGGGTGATCTGAACAAGATGCTCAGCGCGGACACGACGACCCCAGATGATGCTAACACCGCACGCGTTCGTCACATAAGGTGAAGCAACATATCCTGCATCCAAACAAAGCCGATGATACGCACCTCGCTCACCCGCCTCAATGACGCGCTTGCGGATGGCGGTGCCTGTCGTCGCCTTCTGCTTGGTACCAATCACTGCGAGCACATCGAAGTGCGCCGTCCTCCGAGCGATGTCCTCCACCCTGTCAAGAGTGTTAGCCGATAAGGGATTGTAACTTCCAACTCGAAGATTGAACATCCCAAGATAACCTAGCAGCCAGCAGCGGGGAAACATCAAAATCCCATGGAGTGTAGAGTAGAACATAAGTGTAGCTTCATTATCAGATACGCCACCTAGTGTTGCACCTGTGCCCCGTGGCTCAGGGCGCCGGGGGGAGGAGGAGGAGAAAGAGATAGAGAGACAGAGAGAGAGAGAGGCCAGGAAGGAGAAAGAGATAGAGAGACAGAGAGAGAGAGAGAGAAAGAGAGACAGAGAAAGAAAGACAGAGAGACAGAAATAACTACAAAGAGACAGAAGGACATTGGTTTCGCTTGAGACATCCTGAAACAACGTGTTCGCTTCGCTTGATGTTGTTATCTCAACATAAGAAGGAAGTAACTTCGATGGCGAACTTTTCCCGTGATAATGAAGTTCGGCCTCCGCGCCCCCGCGCCCCCGACCAAACTCTTATTGGTCGACGATCAAAAACTCTAACGACTTAAGGGGGGGTCACGTCATTCTCATCGGCATGCTGTTATCCACAACTCACTACCCACCACCCACTACTCGCTACTCCCTACTCACTACTCCCTCCTCCCAACTCACTATTCACTACTCACTCCTCACTACCACCTACTCGATACTCACTACTCACTGAGCACTACTCACTACTCCCTACTCACGAATCACTACTCATTATCCACTACCCACTACTCACTACTCACGACTAACTACTCATTGCCCACAAATCACTACAAGCTACCCACTACTCGCTACTCGCTACTCACTACTCCCTACACAGTACTCAGTACTCACTACTCGCTAATCCCATACTCGCTGATCAATACTCACTACTCACTCCCCGCTACTCACTATTCACTACTCACTACGTACTACTTCCTACTCACTAGTCACTACATAGTCTCTAGTCGCTGCTCACCACTCACTAGTCACTACTGACTGCCCACGACTTACCAATCGCTACTCACTACCCACCATTCGCTACCCCTTTCTTACTACTCACTGCTCACTACTCCCTGCTCCCTACTCCCTTCTCGCTACTCCCTACTCGTAACTCACTAATCACTACCCACTACTCACTACTGACTACTCTCTACTCACTACTCACTACTCACTACGCCCTACTCGCTCCTCACTACTCACTACTCGCTACTCCCTACTCGCTACTCACTACTCACTACCCACTGCCACTACCCACTACTCTCTCATCACTGCTCACTACTCACTACGCACTACGTACTCACTACTCACTACTCACTACTCACTACTCACTACTCGCTACTCACTACTCACTTCTCATTACTCACTACTCACTACTCACTACTCACTACTCACTACGCACTACTCCCTACTCCGTACTCGCCACTCACTACCCACTACTCACTACCCAATACTCACTACGCACTAACTCAGTACTCACTACTCACCACTCCCTACTCCCAACTCCGTACTCACTCCCCCTACACGGGGGGGGGTCCGACCCCGCCCCCCCTTTCCAACGCCAAGGGGGGGAGGGGGGGGGGGTCCGGACCCCCCCTCCGTTCAAGGGAGGGGGGGGAGGGAGGGGTCGGGACCCCCCCCTTTAAGGGGGGGAGGGGGGGGGGGTCTGGACCCTCTCCCCCTTTGAAGGGGGGGAGGGGGGGGGTTCTGGACCCCCCCCCCCCTTTAGTGTATTCAGGGAGATCCACTGGCGCACTTTCCGAATGAGGAACAGGCATACGTTGTTCTACTGTGCGCCGAGGTTGAGGCTTGTGTTGCCCCATCGGGACTCCCCTCCCCCTCCCCCCCCCTCGCCTCCGCCGACGCCTCCGCCCCCTCCACCCTCGGAAGAACAATTTGGCCCGAACTCGTGCCAACCGCGAGGAGGCCCGCGCTCGCAAGCAGGCGCAGAAGCAAGTAACTCATGTTGCCAAGGCTCCCCTGGGACGCACCCTGGGGGCGCTACGGGGCGGGCTCTTTCCCGCCCCTCTTCCTCCTCCCATCCGCGAGAGACTCTCGGATGGGAAGCGCTGACTTACCTTTTCGGACTGTGTCCGTGCGCTGTGCTGTCTCGAATGTGCCTACCTTGGACAAGCGCGTTCCACTACTCGCAAAGTAACTATTCGCAAACGGCCTGGATCCGCCGCGGGGGATTTGCGATCCATGACGTCGCGGCAGACATTTGTTATTTATGGCGTTTGCGAGTAGGCACTTTGCGAGTAGTGGAACGCGCTCGGTGATACCTTTACGCACTCGCGCTCCTGCCAGTGTTGTCAGGCAAAGCCACGGAATGCGCACGCGCGAAGCCCCTCGGGCTAACAAACTTCCTTCCGCCTCCTCCTCCTCCTCCTCCTCCTCCTCATCGGACGGCTTGGGGCGGGCGCGGATCGGACGGGTTGGGTCAGGGGGGGAAGCATGACGGCAAACATATCCGTATCCGCGCCCTCGTGGTCTGGATTCGGGCCAGCGCCCAGACATCCGGCATCTCGAAACACCGGGACGCCGTTTTTTTTCTTCGTGCTCGGCCCCTCGGGGCCCTTGCCAGGCCTCGGGTCTGTCGAACGACTGCCAGGGACGAGACGCCCGTGCCACGGACGGGCTCCAGAAGTTAGGGGCCCGCGTCTCAACACGAGTCGAGACGCCAGACGTCCGGGAGGCGGGGGAGGCCTCCGGGGGAGGGCGGGCGGACGCGGACCGGACGGGTTGGGGCGGGGGGGGAGCATCGACTTGGACGCCCGAAGTGGGTACGGAAACAAACTTTTACAAAGCCCAACCACAAGTGTTGTCCAAAACCAACAGCGGCCACTGTTGGGCGGCCCTCTGTCTCAGATGGGTAACGCCCGCGGCGGCGCGGACAGCGAGTCCGGTTCAGCATGAGCCGGAAATGCTATGAGTCTTCGCGCCCATTCTGTCCGTACCCTTTTTTCGGCGGCGAGCGAATGGGGGAAATGAGAAGGAGAAGGCCGTCTCAGAAGTTTCGGAAGTCCCCCAGCCTTCCGAGAAGCTTTCTGAGCCTTCCCCGAAGACAAGCAGCAACAACTTCTCAGAAGGCGCGAGGGCTTCTGAGAAGTCCTGGCCGCCTTCTGCGAAGGCTCTCTCCCTCGCTCGCCGCCGAGTTTCGAGATACTGAAACGAGTCGCGACGACGCCGATGGGTCGAACGCCCGGGCGCACGGCGCAAGGCGGGGCCGCCTCCCAGGCCGCGCCGGGCGTCCGGGCGAGCGCGCGGCCGCGGTGCACGGCGGAGTGGCCCATGGCCTCGGCGGACGGCCGCCGCCGGCGCCGTCGGCGACGAGCACGGCGGCGGAGGCAGCGGTGACGGGCAGCGGCGACACCGACGACGGCGGTGGCGTCGGGCGCGCGCGCGCGGCCGCAGTGCGCGGCGGAATGGTCAGTGGCAAGACATCGGAGCCTCTCACACCATCTTGTCGGCTCTTGCGACTCGACGCTACTCGACGCTGATTCGCCGCAGCTCGACGCCACATCGTCGCTAATCGAAGCTGTCCGGCGCTGAGTCGGCGCTATCACATCAATTCCAGACGCTAATCCACGCTAAAGTCAGATTTGAAAAAGGGCACGTCTGACTCTTATGATGTGCGACCGAACGAATATCCCATGGCCTCGGCGGGCGGATGGCGGATCCGAGCCACCCAGTCGCCCTTCGCACCGCGCGGAGGGCAAGGGCGCTCGCGCCGCACACTGGAGGTGGGAGCCTTTTCCCGGCCTGGACCGTGAGGCGGGAGTCTCTTCCCTCCACCATGGGTGACCTGGGCGGATGGCCGACGGCGACGTCCGAAGACTGGACAGTCGACGTGCTCTTGCCTTTGTGGGATTTCCAGGGTTGCCCGTCGTCGCCACGGCTGGGTCTGCCTCGACGTAGTCAGGACGCGCTCCAAGACAGGTCCATGGATCGGTTTCGCTCGGAGAGACCTAAGACTCGGGTTCGGGAAACTCGGGCTAGCGTGACGGTGCCACCATGAAAATGACGAGACCCAATCACATATGTGACGCGATCTCCCGCTGCAGACATCCCACGAACACTGGGCCGTCACAGTCCATGGCACTTTCGATAAAAAAACGCCGGCCACCCCGAGTTCTGGTGCATGTTCAATTGAGCCGGGCATGTCCGTCTAGAGGAGGAAAATTCAAAATACTCAAAAATAGAATTGCGTAGATTTCTTTTTTATGTTTCGAACAGGTTGGATTTTTTACATATTAAAAAATCGGATTCCATCTACAATCTGCCAATAGGAGGACTTGCCCGATCAAGCGTGCGTAGTATAATCTCACGTTTTCCCGATTCGGCAGAAAGGACCAGCGCGAGGACGGCGACGTCGGGCGAATGCGTGGTCCGCGGCGGGCCGCTGAAGACGCCCGCGCGCCTCTCCAGATGCCGCGTTCGAGTGGCGCCTCGCTGCCTTGGGTCTTTCGGTCCGCGACGGCCAGGGCTTTCCCAAGACCGTGTTTCTCGTTGTTGTTTTGCGTTGATCGTCCCTCGCTTTTGGTCCTCAATTCGCCTCTGCTGCAAAACGAAGTCGAGACGAAAACGGCCCACGAAATTGTAAACGGAGGTACGGATCCGAAAAGCCGAACCGTCCGCCCGAAGGGGATCCGTAGGTAGAGGAAGAATGACAGCGATGAAAGATTTTATCTTTCGGTGGAACATATCAAAAAAACATCCAATATCTGAGCCGGTAGGGGCTGCGGTAGGGAAACCGCTCAGGACGACCCCGGGCGACGGCAGAGGGGGACGTGGTGGGCTGTGCCGAGCCTGACCAGGCCCGTCCTGGCCCCGCGGCTCGGGCCTCAAGAGCCCGTGGCTGGGACGCCTTAAGAGCCCTTGGTCGAACCCTTGGTTTACCATGCGTTTGAGCAGGGACCGGCCGTCCTGGCATTCCTATAGGCTTACCACGACATGTTCCTAGATCCCAAACATGTTGTAAGAACGAAAACGATGCCCTTAGAACTTATGAGAGAGCGCGTTTCACGGGCGCTTGCCTTGGGAACATACGGCGGCGCGTTTCGAACCGGGGGACCCCCCCAACACTCGGCGCCGTCGATCAGAACCATGGGGGCTCGCCTCCCCCTTAACCTCCCCTCCCGAGCCCCCCCCCTCCCAAGGGGTTCCAACCCCCCCCCTCCCTCGGCGCCGGCGCCGGCGCCGGCGCTGGCGGCCGCAAGCAGCGCCGACGGTGGGAACGCAGCGACGATGACCAGAGAGGGCCCAAGGGGGGGACCCCTCCACGCGCCGGCGCCGGCGCCGGCGCTGGCGCTGGCGGCGGCCAGCAGCGCCGACGGCGGAGACGCAGCGATGATTATCAGAGAGAACCCAGAGGCCGCAGAGGGAACATGCAAATCGCCATTTCGAACCCTCGCCCCCAGAAGCCACCGAGAGGCCCTGAGGAAGATACAAGAGGCTTCATACACGCTCCTCAGACGCCCTCGAGGCCCTTCTGACGAGACCTCAAGAGGCATCATCCATGAGAACTCTGACCCACAGACAAAACACGGTGGCGGGAAGAGCCGAAGGCCAAACCACCACCACCACCACAAACCACCATACCACCACCACAAACACCGCCACCACCACCACCACAACCACCACAATCCACCACCACCACAACCATCACCACCACAAACCACAACACCACCACCACCACCAAAAGCCCAGCACCACCAGCACCACCTCAACCCACCACAACCCACCACAACCACCACCACCACCACAAACCACCACACCATTACCACCACCATCACCACCACCGCCACAACCACAAGCATTATCACAACCCCCCACCACCACCACAAACCACCACGCCACCACCACCACAACCACCACCACCACCACCACCGCCACAACCCACCACCCACCACCCACCACGACCACCAGCGCCGCTACCAGCAGCACCTCCACCACCATCAACACCAAAGTCCACCACCACCAACACAAACCACCACGCCACCATCACCACAAACGCCACCACCACTACCACCACGACCACCTCAGCCCACCATCACCACAACCAATCCACCACACGAACACCACCACCACCACAGCCACCACTCCCACCACCACCACAACCATCACCACAACAACAACTCACCACCACCACAACCACAACAACCCACCGCCACTACCACCGCCACCACAATCTACCACACCACCACCAACACCGCCACAACCACCACCACTACCAGCAGCACAAGCCACCACCACCATCACAAACCACCGCATCACCACCACCACCGCTACCACCACCACCACCACCACCTCCACAAACCACCGCCACCGCCACCGCCGCCACCACCACGACAAACCACCACACCACAACCACCACCACCACCGCCACCACCACCACTACAACCCACCACTACACCCCACCACCACCAGAAACCACCGCCACACCACCACCCGACCACAACCACCACAACTACCACCACCATCCACCACAACCACCAGCACAACAAACCACCACACCACCACAAACCACAACACCACCACCACCACAACCACCAACACCGCCACCACCACCACAGCCCACCACCACCACCACCACAAACCACCACACCACCACCACCACCCACCACCACAACCACCACCACCACAACAAACCACCACCACCACCACAACCATCACCACAGCCACAACCCAACACCATCACCACAACCACTACCACCACCACAGCTTCCACGACAAACCACCACACCACCACCGCAACCACCACGACCACCTTAACTCACTACCGCCACAACTACAACCACCACCACGAGAAACCACCGCATCACCACAACCACCGCCACCACCACCACTACCTCAACCTGCCACCACAACCACCACAACAACCACCACCACCACTACCACCAATCACACCACCACCACCTCCACCACCGCCACCATTACCACCAACACCACCACCACCACACCACAGCCCACCACCATCACCACCACAACCACCACCACCACCTCAGAGGGGCCCCAAGAGACGCCCAAGAGGCGCCCAGGAGGCTGCAAAAACGCCCTTCATAGGCCCCCGAGAGCCCTCGGCAAGACCCCAAGAGGCATCCTTTAGGACTCTTACCCAAAACAGAGGCACGGTGGCGGAGCGTCGTCGTCGCGCAGACGTCCTCGTCGACGCTCCCCGCCGCCGCCGCCCGCCGCCGCAGGCGCGGGCGCCGGCCCAGAACAAGAAGTCGTCGTCCCCGCCGCCGCCGCCAGCCGCCGCCGACGCAGGCGCCCGCCCGAGGAGAGGGAGAGAGGAGAAGTAGGGGAGGAGGGGGAGGGGAGGGAGAGAGGGGGGGGCTCGAACCCCCCCCCCCTCCCCCCTCCCTCACGGGACGGGGGAGTTCGAACCCCCTCCCCCCTCCATCCAGGGGGGGGTCCGGTTCCAACCGCCCCCCCTCCAAGCGACCACAGAACGTGCTCTTTCGAACATAATCACGATGTGATAAAACAAGACAATATCGGCCAAACATGTTACATGACCATTTCGTGCAGACGACAAAACGTTCTTAGAACATTCTCTGGTGGGCCTATAGGCAAGCCGGGACGCTGTGCCACTGCTCGATATATTGAACCTTCGTCGCATAGCTACCAGCTACCACATAGCCTGCCTACTGCTAACCTGGCCTGTGGGGAATGTCTTATCCAATCGATCGAACCGGCGCCACGCGCAAACACTGGAGCGAATCATCGAATCAATCGAATCGCGGTCGGCCTCAGAGTTCTGGCCTCAGAGCCCTTGGCTGGTCTGCCGGCCTCCCCAGAGGGTGTTGTCCCGCGTTCTGTGTGGGCGACCGCTGAGTCGTCAGAGAGCTCCTCCGCAGCAGCCACTGTGACACGGGGGCAGTCATGGACAATCTGTACATGTCCAGGCCGGCCTGCCCAGGATCCGAGAAGCACTCTGAGAGAGCTTAGCTGCTCAGACGTGCCCTCCTGCAGGCAAGGCCCAAGCTCTGGCAAATACGAAGGTCGACATCTGGGGCGGCGCCAGCGGCTTGCCGGGTCGGGGCTGTCATTGCCCGGGTTGGGCCCGCCGTGGCTGAAATTCCGCGCGCAGAAGAGCACAGGCGCCACCGTTCTCAGACGCGGGAAGTGGGGGATGACGCCTCTGAATGCCTCCCAAATGGGATCCGCGTAGACGGGGTCGGAGGATCGCGCCGCGTCGCCGATGCATCGCCGATGCATCGGCGATGCGTCCGCGACGTCGGCGATGTATCGGCGAAGTCGGCGTGGAGAACATCGGGCTCTACATCGAGCCGCATGTTGGCGGCGAGCAGAAGGGGGTATGGGGGAGAGGGGAAGGCTTCTTAGAAGGAGGCTGCTTCTTAGAAGGCGCCGGCCTTACATCTACAGAGAAGGCCCGCACCTTCTAAGAAGCAGGGGTGCTTCTAAGAAGCCTTCCCCCCTCCCCCTGCCCCCCTCTGCGCGCCGCCAAGCATGCCGCATGCCGCATCGCCGATGCATCGGCGAGGCGGCGCGGTCTTCCGGCCCCGTCTGCTCGGACCCCGCCCCGGGAGGCCTGGATGGATTGGCGTGACGCCTCTGGCTGCATTCCCAGTGGCAGCTGGCACGGAGGGCGGAGGAGGGGCAGCACGGGGGGAACTCGAGCAGCGAGCGCCCAGGCCGTCGCTCGAGCCGCCGCTCAAGCCGCCAGCAGCGGCCGGAGGCGCGCCTCTGGGGGCTCGCTCAGCTCCGGGGCCCTGGCGATCCCGGGGTCCCCCACCACGAAGCCCACGACCGCGCTGGCCGGCAGTGGCTGCGCGAGGGGCGCGGCGAGGGGGGCGCCCACCACGGGGCCGTCGTGGGGCGCGAACTCCAGCCAGAGCCACCCGGGGGAGCAGCACCCCTGGCGCAGCCCCTGCGGCGCCCGCGTGCCCCTGTGCCGGGCCAGGGAATGGGCCTTCACGGACCAGCCGGTGCCGACCAGGGCCTGGGCCACCGGGCCGGCCAGGCGGCTGCTCGCCTCGTCCCTGAGCCGCGGGAGCAGCTGCCACTTGACGTACAGGGCGAGCCCCAGCATCATGAGGGGGAGTGCGATCGCCATCGCCTCCATCCTGCCCGAGTAGTCCCTCAGGTCCTCACACGCACTGAAGGATGCCTCTGGCGTACAGACGCCCCCGCCCTTGTCGTGCAGGAAGAGGCAGCCTGCTAGCTGGTCGCATGTGCTCGGATCTCTAGTGTGGCACTGGTCAGTCTCGTCCAGCCGGCAGGCTCTGGCGATAGCCAGGCGCCAACCAGGTCCGAGCAACATCATCAAGATAACCGCAACGATAATGAGGAGCCAATGCTGGTTATAGAGCTTCACGCCACAAGAGCTGTCCCGGAAACGGTACCACTCCCGCGCTGCCGCCTCCAAACTCTCGATGGGGACCGTCGAGACGGGCCACTGCGCCAGCTGACCCGACCGCATCGGCACCGCCATGCGCACGCCCCCGGCAGGAAGCGGCATACCCTGTCCCATGGCGCCGATGTAGCGGGCGAGGCGGCGGCCAAGTCCTAAATGGCGTGCCTTGAGGGGGGTGACCTGATCCAGACTCGGCTTCCCCGAAAGGTTCTGGCGTTCGTCCGCCGCAGCTCTCGGCTTCAATACCTCTGACGTTCAAACTACGTGGGGGTCAGGGCGTTCTGCTGATCGTCATCGGTGTCGTCGTGCTCGGCCTCTGGACCTCTTCTGGAGCGCCATCCGACTGAGATTTCGAGATCTTTGCCATCGCGATCGGTCCATTGAGCCTTCTCCTGGGAAGCGCTCCGCCCGAAACTCCCCCCGCGAGTCCAGCTGTGGTGGCGAGGGCCCCTGGCCCCCAGGCCCAAACGTCCGTGGGGCACCTGCTGAAGTCTGGTTTCGTATATGATGTGCGTGCTGTAACAAACACGCGATCATGAGCGTCGTCGTCACCACCACCGCGACTTAGGTGCCGCCGCCGCCGCCGTCGTCGTCGTTGTCGTCATGGTCGTCGTCGTCGTTGTGGCCGTCGTGGTCATCGTCGTTGTCGTCGTCGTCGTGGCCGTTGTGGTCGTCGTGGTCGTCGTCCTTGCAGGAGGCATCCATTAGGACTCTTACCCAAAACAGAGGCACGGTGGCGGAGCGTCGTCGTCGTCATCGTTGCGCAGACGTCCTCGTCGACGCTCCCCGCCGCCGCCGCCCGCCGCCGCAGGCGCCGGCGCCGGCCCAGAACAAGAAGTCGTCGTCCCCGCCGCCGCCGCCAGCCGCCGCCGACGCAGGCGCCCGCCCGAGGAGAGGGAGGAGAAGTAGGGGAGGAGGCGGAGGGGAGGGGGAGAGGGGGGGGCTTGAACCCCCCTCCCTCACGGGACGGGGGAGTTCGAACCCCCTCCCCCCTCCATCCAGGGGGGGGTCCGGTTCCAACCGCACCCCCTCCAAGCGACCACAGAACGTGCTCTTTCGAACATAATCACGATGTGATAAAACAAGACAATATCGGCCAAACATGTTACATGACCATTTCGTGCAGACGACAAAACGTTCTTAGAACATTCTTTGGTGGGCCTATAGGCAAGCCGGGACGCTGTACCACTGCTCGATATATTTAACCTTCGTCGCATAACTACCAACTACCACTACCACATAGCCTGCCTACTGCTGACCTGGCCTGTGGGGAATGTCTTATCCAATCGATCGAACCGGCACCACGCGCAAACACTGGAGCGAATCATCGAATCAATCGAATCGCGGTCGGCCTCAGAGTTCTGGCCTCAGAGCCCTTGGCTGGTCTGCCGGCCTCCCCAGAGGGTGTTGTCCCGCGTTCTGTGTGGGCGACCGCTGAGTCGTCAGAGAGCTCCTCCGCAGCAGCCACTGTGACACGGGGGCAGTCATGGACAATCTGTACATGTCCAGGCCGGCCTGCCCAGGATCCGAGAAGCACTCTGAGAGAGCTTAGCTGCTCAGACGTGCCCTCCTGCAGGCAAGGCCCAAGCTCTGGCAAATACGAAGGTCGACATCTGGGGCGGCGCCAGCGGCTTGCCGGGTCGGGGCTGTCATTGCCCGGGTTGGGCCCGCCGTGGCTGAAATTCCGCGCGCAGAAGAGCACAGGCGCCACCGTTCTCAGACGCGGGAAGTGGGGGATGACGCCTCTGAATGCCTCCCAAATGGGGTCCGCGTAGACGGGGTCGGAGGATCGCGCCGCGTCGCCGATGCATCGCCGATGCATCGGCGATGCGTCCGCGACGTCGGCGATGCATCGGCGAAGTCGGCGTGGAGAACATCGGGCTCTACATCGAGCCGCATGTTGGCGGCGAGCAGAAGGGGGTATGGGGGAGAGGGGAAGGCTTCTTAGAAGGAGGCTGCTTCTTAGAAGGCGCCGGCCTTACATCTACAGAGAAGGCCCGCACCTTCTAAGAAGCAGGGGTGCTTCTAAGAAACCTTCCCCCCTCCCCCTGCCCCCCTCTGCGCGCCACCAAGCATGCCGCATGCCGCATCGCCGATGCATCGGCGAGGCGGCGCGGTCTTCCGGCCCCGTCTGCTCGGACCCCGCCCCGGGAGGCCTGGATGGATTGGCGTGACGCCTCTGGCTGCATTCCCAGTGGCAGCTGGCACGGAGGGCGGAGGAGGGGCAGCACGGGGGGAACTCGAGCAGCGAGCGCCCAGGCCGTCGCTCGAGCCGCCGCTCAAGCCGCCAGCAGCGGCCGGAGGCGCGCCTCTGGGGGCTCGCTCAGCTCCGGGGCCCTGGCGATCCCGGGGTCCCCCACCACGAAGCCCACGACCGCGCTGGCCGGCAGTGGCTGCGCGAGGGGCGCGGCGAGGGGGGCGCCCACCACGGGGCCGTCGTGGGGCGCGAACTCCAGCCAGAGCCACCCGGGGGAGCAGCACCCCTGGCGCAGCCCCTGCGGCGCCCGCGTGCCCCTGTGCCGGGCCAGGGAATGGGCCTTCACGGACCAGCCGGTGCCGACCAGGGCCTGGGCCACCGGGCCGGCCAGGCGGCTGCTCGCCTCGTCCCTGAGCCGCGGGAGCAGCTGCCACTTGACGTACAGGGCGAGCCCCAGCATCATGAGGGGGAGTGCGATCGCCATCGCCTCCATCCTGCCCGAGTAGTCCCTCAGGTCCTCACACGCACTGAAGGATGCCTCTGGCGTACAGACGCCCCCGCCCTTGTCGTGCAGGAAGAGGCAGCCTGCTAGCTGGTCGCATGTGCTCGGATCTCTAGTGTGGCACTGGTCAGTCTCGTCCAGCCGGCAGGCTCTGGCGATAGCCAGGCGCCAACCAGGTCCGAGCAACATCATCAAGATAACCGCAACGATAATGAGGAGCCAATGCTGGTTATAGAGCTTCACGCCACAAGAGCTGTCCCGGAAACGGTACCACTCCCGCGCTGCCGCCTCCAAACTCTCGATGGGGACCGTCGAGACGGGCCACTGCGCCAGCTGACCCGACCGCATCGGCACCGCCATGCGCACGCCCCCGGCAGGAAGCGGCATACCCTGTCCCATGGCGTCGATGTAGCGGGCGAGGCGGCGGCCAAGTCCTAAATGGCGTGCCTTGAGGGGGGTGACCTGATCCAGACTCGGCTTCCCCGAAAGGTTCTGGCGTTCGTCCGCCGCAGCTCTCGGCTTCAAGACCTCCGACGTTCAAACTACGTGGGGGTCAGGGCGTTCTGCTGATCGTCATCGGTGTCGTCGTGCTCGGCCTCTGGACCTCTTCTGGAGCGCCATCCGACTGAGATTTCGAGATCTTTGCCATCGCGATCGGTCCATTGAGCCTTCTCCTGGGAAGCGCTCCGCCCGAAACTCCCCCGGCGAGTCCAGCTGTGGTGGCGAGGGCCCCTGGCCCCCAGGCCCAAACGTCCGTGGGGCACCTTCTGAAGTCTGGTTTCGTATATGATGTGCGTGCTGTAACAAACACGCGATCATGAGCGTCGTCGTCACCACCACCGCGACTTAGGTGCCGCCGCCGCCGTCGTCGTCGTCGTTGTCGTCATGGTCGTCGTCGTCGTTGAGGCCGTCGTGGTCGTCATCGTCGTTGTCGTCGTCGTCGTGGCCGTTGTGGTCGTCGTGGTCGTCGTCGTGGTCGTCGAAGTTGTCGTGGTCGTGGGCGTCGTGCGCGTCGTGGGCGCGGTCGTCGTGGGCGTGATCGTCGAGGGCGTGGTCGTCGTTGTCGTCATCGTCGTGTTCGTCGTGAGCGTCGTTGGCGTCGTGGGCGTGGTCGTCGTGGGCGATGTTGTCGTCGCGGTTGGCGGCTTGGCACCGGGGGACAGGTTACCTGCTAAATGAGAACCCTGGGCCTCTGCCCTTTCCGGGGGAGAAAAAACCTGGGCTCAAGCCCTCTCCAGGAACAAAACAAGTGGGGCGCTTCCCCACGGCCGCACCTCTGGAATCGCCATCGGCTTGCAAAAACCCGCAGAACAAAGAGGAAAACAGGACAATGACGGAATCATAATGCGAACTGCGCCTTGGTCGATCTGGGAGAAGGGGAATCCACCGACCACCGCTCGCTGTGGGTGCCAAGGCGTGTGAGATGATTGGGTTTGACTATTTGTTTCCTCCCCTGGGGTCTGAAAACCGATTTGAGGGGGGGGGCCCGGTGGGGGGGCTCCTCGAGCTCATCAACGCTCCCCCGGGGCCTCCAGAGCCTCGATTTCTACAGTCTGTGGCCTCCAAGATGCCTGCGAAACGATCTACGCCTGCTCAAGCACGGTTTCAACACGCTCAGGAACATAGCCTCAAGACTGCCAAGGAGGCCTCAAAGACGCCCCAAGAGGGCTCCCAGACGACCCCCGAGAGGGCCCCCGAAGCAAGAATCGTCCAAATCCCGACAAGAACACGTATGATTCGAACATGTTCGCAGTTTTGGTCTCAATAGCGTCAAAGCCAGCTGAAGAGGCCCCCATGATCGCTCCAAGACGGCCCAAGAAGCCGCCAAGAGGGCCCCAAGACGGCCGAAAAAGTCCCTAAGAAGGCCCAAGAGCCCAAGAGAGCCCCAACAAGGCCCAAAGAGAAGCCCAAGAGAGGCAACTCGAACTGACATTCCGAGCCCTCCGCCCCCAGGAGGACCCACGGGACAGGCAGTTGGCGCCCAAGAAACTCCGAAGAGGCCCCTGAAGAGGCCCCAAGAGGGTCCCCAAGAGGCCCCCAAAGGCCGCACCCGTTGACTTCATCCCTCTTGTGGCGTCGGCGGAATGGCGAAACACCCAGGAATAAGAACGAGGTTGAGGCTTGGCTCGCCCGAAATGGTTACGCAGTAAAAGCGGGGTGCGATGCCCAGCAGCGATTGTTGTCCGACACCGACAGCGGCCTCTGTTTGGCAGAGGACTGTTGCCTTAAATTGGACAGCCTATGCGGCGACTCCGAACAAGAATCATGTCCAAAATATCTGGCACACACTAGCATGGACTACAGACCCGTGGATCTGGCACGTGTGGAAGGATCACCCTGCCACACGAACCCAATACCGCCTAATATGGTGACGGTGCG